GGGTCTCACGTGTAATGTTAATTCTGTCCGAGACAAATCCCATAATCTGTGCAGTTTCAGAGCCTAATACAGAAAAACATCAGAGTGACTTGTTTGTGGGCTTTCTCTCTCCATCCCAGGGGACAGTCCCAGGGGCTCCCCATCTTTCCTAGCATGCTGACCCAAGGACAGAAACGGGGCAACTAAGGGATCAGGTGTTATCCGGGCCGCCTCCCTTATAGGGCGCTGGCCATTGAGGGGAAAACATATTCAAGTCACTGGTCACAGATCTAAGCATGCAGCTACATGTCTGGGGCTTGGACCCTTTTGGAGAGAGAGGGGGGAGAGAGGGAGAGAGAGAGAGAGAGAGAGAGAGAGAGAGAGAGAGAGAGAGAGAGAGACTGTCCTTCAGCAAGGTTTCAAAGCAAGGCAAGAAGCAGTCTGAGGTCATGGCTACGCCCCACCGCACATCTTCCCGCTCTGGTTGTGTGCTGGGACTTCAGCTTCCATTTGTGTGGGAGGCGGGGATGCGCCCGTCTCCGGCCTGGCGTTTGTGTATTTCTCTTTTGCAGTAATTAGCACACGTCTTTGTGTGCAGTAAACCAGCGCCTGACACGGGCATGCCTGGTTTTGGGTTACAGCTTTGTCTGGGTAACACAGCCAAGCTGTCACGTTGGGTGCGGGTTCGAACACGCGGCGTGCGTGCCAGGGCTGGCCGGCCGAGCGTCCCTTCCGGTTCACCGGGGCTGTTGGTTTTTTCTTCCGGTTCACCGGGGCGGGTCCGCGGTGCGGCCCGGGCCCTGCAGGTGCCCGGAATGGGCTGCCAGGCACGGTCAGGGCCGCCAAAGGCACCGCTTCCCCGTTCCAGGGCAGACGTCCGGGGCCATTCAGCGCTCCCCCGGGTCCAGAAAGGAAAAGACAGGGCCCTCGGGTTGCACTCCGAAATAGAGGGGCAGGAGAAAGGGGTGAGCGAGGTTGCATGTTCCCCAGGCTCCCCTGCAAGCCCAGCTCGGAGCCCAGGACCCCAAGGGGAGGCGGAACACCCAGGTGTCACACCCCAGGCCCCCGGGCAGGAGCACCTGGCTTTCC